CCAGCGCCCTAATGTCCATGGGAATGGAGAAGGGCTGATTGGGGATGCCCAGCTCGGACGCCAGGGTAGCGTCCATAAAACTCTCATTGACCCCAGAGTCGATGAGTACCCGGAGAGATTTCGACTGGTTCCCCCACAGCAGGATAGCATGGAAAGGGGTGCAAGTAAGGGGAGAGGAAAAGTTATCCATAAGGCCCACCAGAGTACTCGCCCCTTCTTGATGAGCCTGGTTTTTTAATGGGCAGGTAGCTACGAAATGTCCCGTAGCTCCACAATTTAGACAGCTCTGGAGTCAGCCGGAGTCAATCTAGCCCTACCCAGGTGCCTGGATTCCGAAGGAGGCGAGTCGGCAGCCCTCAGTGATTCCCGAGAGAACTCGGGTGACGTCGGGTTCACTCGGACATGTAGATTTCGGGGGTCTCCGGGATTCTTCGGAGGCGAGGTGGGAATCGAGGGGGAACGAGGGCGACAGGGCACAGATTCCCTCTCCCTCCTACTTTCTCAAAGCAGCCCATCGATCCGTAGGGTCAAGGCAATGAGGGAGTCAAGGTCCATGGGCAGTTCCCGGGCTGCAATCTCATCTTTGACCACCTCCGATAATCCGTGAAGGAACGTGTCGAACAACGCTTCCGGGTTCCAGGCACTCTAAGCCGCCAACGTGCGAAAATCCACTGCGTAGTCTGCCACACTACGGGAGTCTTGACGTAGCTGGAGCAGCTTACGAGCAGCTTCTCTCCCGGACAACGGAGAATCAAACACCTTCCGATCTTCCGCCACAAACTCCTCTAGACTGAGGCAGATGGCGGCCTGTTGCTCCCACACCGCCGTTGCCCAGGCGAGGGCCCACCCCGGACATCAGCGTTATGATGTACGCTATCCTCGAGCAGTCCGAGGGGAACGAAGAAGGCTGCAGCTCGAAAATGAGGGAGCACTGGGAGAGAAAAGCCTGACAGGTTCCGGGAATCTCCAGTGTAGCACTCCGGAGGAGGTAAGTGGGGTTCTCGGGACACTGGGAGATTATGGGTGTGACCCGCTGCCCAGTGGGGAATCCGCGGAATTGCTCCAGCAAAGTCTCGAATGCCTGGTCATGGCGTTCTGCCAGGGTATGGAGTCTCTCCATAAGACATTGCAGTAACTCCTTGTGTCGTCCAATGGTGGCTCCTTGCAGGGAGACAGCATTGTTTAGCTGGTCTGTGTCTGCTGGGTCGGTCATGGCCAGTTTGTACTATCACGTTTTATGTTAGACCCAGATGAAGACAGTGTTGAAGTAACAAAAGTTTATTACTAGAACAGGGGGCAGGCAAAACAACATTTCAAGGGCAGGCAGAGGTCAGTAATCCAGATCAGAGTCCAAAAGGTACAGAACGGCAAGCAGTCAGGGTCAGGGCAGGCAAAGTTCAATAATCCAGTGTGATGGGACAAGGTACGGAACAGCAGGCAGGCTCAGGGTCAGGGCAGGCAGAATGGTCAAAACCGGGAAAAGTAGAAAACAGGAACTTTAGAAAAGACAGGAGCAAGGGGAAAAACGCTGGTAGGCTTGACGAACAAAACGAACAGGCAATAGACAAACAGAGAACACAGGTATAAATACTCTGGGGATAATGGGGAAGATGGGCAACACCTGGAGGGGGGTGGAGACAATCACAAAGACAGGTGAAACAGACCAGGGTGTGACACCCCCCTTCTCTCCTCTCTCTCTCTCCTCTTTCAACCCCCCCCCCCCTTCTCTCCTTCTCTCTTTCTCTCTGTCCCTCTGTCCTCTTTCAACCCCCCTTCTCTCTGTCTCTCTCTCCTCTTTCAACCCCCCTTCTCTCTTTCTCTCCCTCATCTTTCAAGCCCCTCTCTCCTTCTCTCCTTGTCTCCCTCTCCCTCTTAATCCAACCCCCCCCACCTTCTCTCCCTCTGTTCCCTCTGTCCTCTCTTCACCCTACGCCCTTTCTCTTCCTTCTCTCTCTGTCCCTCCTACCTCCTCATTTCAACCCCCCTTCTCCTCCTCTCTCTCTCCTCTCTTCAACCCCCCTCTTCCTCTCTCTCTCTCTCTCCTCTTCCTCTCCTCTTAACTACACCCCCCTCTCATCCTCCTCTTCTCCTCTCTCCTCTTTCCAACCCATCTCCTTCCGCTCCGCTCTCTCTCCTCTTCCACTTCAAACCCCCCCCTTTTATCTCTCTGTCTCGCTCTCCTTTCAACCCCCTTCTCTCTTCCCCTCTCTCTCTTCCCTCTGTCCCTTTCAAACGCCCTTTCTCTTCCCTCTCTCTGCTCTCTTCTTTCAACCCCCCTTCTCTCTTTCTTCCCTCCTCTTTCAAGCCCCTTCTCTCCTTCTCTCTCCCCTACGATTAATCTCTCTGTCTCTCTCTCTCTCTCTCGTCCCCCCCCCCCCCACTCATTAATATGTATAATTCTAGACAATGCAGTATATTATTTGAGCTCATGTTTGTATTATCATCATATTATCATATATTGCAATAGTGTCTTGGTTTCATACCCCCAAACCCCCAAACCCCCTGTCCTCCACGTCGCCTGGCTTAATCCCAGCCCTGCTAACCCTCCATATCCAGTCTCCCTGTTTTACTGTGACAAAGTGCCAGTGCATCACTGTTGGCCCCTCTAGTGTGACTGAATGTGTGTTTTTTCCCTCTGTCCTCTGTCCTCTGTCCTGTGTTCCTGTGCACTAGCATGTTCCCTTCCATATCGAGGACAGCTGATAAATCTCTCCCTCTCTCCTCTCCCTCTCTCATTAGACTGATGCCTGTGTTCCTCCTGAAGCACTAGTACGTTCCCTCTGAGTCCCTCCCTAATTGGGAACAGCTGGACAGTCCGTCCGTCCTACTAGAACATTCCATTCAGTGTCCTCTGACACCTAAATGTTCCACAGAGGAAATCATAGGAATTCCAAGCACTCCGACTGTCTGTCACTGTAGTCCTATGGCTTGGAAAGGACCCGTTCAAGGACCAGAGTGTTATTATAAGTAGAGAAACATGTAGTGAGCAGGGGGGAACAGGCCTGTTCTACTCTTCATATCACCATCATCATCATCATCATCATCACCTGTGCTCCCACATACCTATCTATTTCATTCTGTTCCTACATACTGTCTATCTTGGCTGCTGTCTATCTTGGCTGCTGTCTATCTTGGCTGCTGTCTATCTTGGCTGCTGTCTATCTTGGCTACTGTCTATCTTGGCTACTGTCTATCTTGGCTACTGTCTATCTTGGCTGCTGTCTATCTTGGCTGCTGTCTATCTTGGCTGCTGTCTATCTTGGCTGCTGTCTATCTTGGCTACTGTATATCTTATGGCTACTGTATATCTTATGGCTACTGTATATCTTATGGCTACTGTATATCTTATGGCTACTGTATATCTTATGGCTACTGTATATCTTGGCTACTGTATATATTGGCTGCTGTATATCTTGGCTGCTGTATATCTTATGGCTACTGTATATCTTATGGCTACTGTATATCTTGGCTACTGTATATCTTGGCTACTGTATATATTGGCTGCTGTATATCTTGGCTGCTGTATATCTTGGCTACTGTATATATTGGCTACTGTATATCTTGGCTACTGTATATCTTGGCTACTGTATATCTTGGCTACTGTATGTCTACAGTATATCTGGTCACAGCGATTCTTATCTATTCAAACTTAGTATGGAAAGCAGAGATATTAATAAAGCACATAGACAACCAAACTACTTGATCCATAGTGTAGAGAAAAAGCACTAACTAAGACCCTATAACACTACACCACCACGTAGATTAGATGCTCTGTATCTAGCTAGCGTACAGCTCAGCGAGGGTGCTCTCTGCGGTGCACACTATTCTCTCTTTCTCTCTCTACTTTTATATTCCTGTCACGGTCGCCACAGTTCCCTTGCTACCCATTTCTTGCTGACAAAGTTTACAACACTATATGATCAAAGCGCACACACACACACACACACACACACACACACACACACACACACACACACACACACACACACACACACACACACACACACACACAGATTGACACAGCACTTTTCCCTGTCCCCAGTTCTCTTCAAATGTGGAGTTAGATAAAATGACAGTGCTAACTCACCTATTGCCAGCTGTGTTATGTAATAATGCACCAACAGCCATACTGTCACTATTATACCACACCACTGCAAATCAAATCAAATGTTATTTGTCACACGCGGCGAATACAACAGGTGTAGGTAGACCTTACAGTGAAATGCTTACTTATAAGCCCTTAACCAACAATGCCGTTTTAAGAAAAATAAGTGTTAAGTAAAAAATAGATCAGTAAAACATAAAAAAAAATAATAATAATAATAATAATTAAAGAGCAGCAGTAAAATAACAGTAGCGAGGCTATATACAGGGGGTACCGGTGCAGAGTCAATGTGCGGGGGCACCGGTTAGTCGAGGTAATTGAGGTAATATGTACATGTGGGTAGAGTTAAAGTGACTATGCATAAATAATAAACAGAGAGTGGCTGTTAAGGAGCCTTTTGGACCTAGACTTGGCGCTCCGGTACCGCTTGCCATGCGGTAGCAGAGAACAGTCTATGACTAGGGTGGCTGTAGTCTTTGACAATTTTTAGGGCCTTCCTCTGACACTTATCAATGATCAACCAAACAACCTCAGCCAATGACCCTTGACCCTATGCAACAGGAAGCACATCATTTTAATGGATCTCCTGTCCAGAAAGGCGGCTAATAAAGAAAAGGTATTGGTCGCGTTGCAGTCGCGTTGCACGCATCAATGGTTTGCCTGCAACATCATCGACTGCACAATCGGGCATCAGATTGCTATATCATATGAGGTGGTTAGCTGATATGTTAAATAGATAATCAGATTGCTATATCATATGATGTGGTTGACTGATATGTTAAACACCTATCCAAGTATTGTGAGATCTGGCAGGCGACTGCAATGTAGTCAGGCTGGAACATGGCCATAATCATTTGATATAATTATAGCTCCTAATAGGTTCTCTTCTCTTACCGTCCGCCGTGGAGCTTGTCCCTCTAGCGCCACCACCAGGTGAGTGGCGGTCCACGCTGCCCTGGCTGTAGTAGTGCTGGAAGGGTAGACTGTGGCTCGGACCCTGACCCAGGACCTCCAGGATGGGGGAGAAGTCGGCTGAGGAGTGGGAGTGGGCCGAGTGGGTGGAGGAAAAGGGATCTGTACATCCCCCCATCTTGAGAGTAGGAGAGCCAGTGCTTCCTCCGTTTCTCCTCTTACTCCTTGCGATCTCTGCGAAGGAAGTGACCCGTGGCGGAGTGGGAGGGCCAAGGGGGGCGGCGCCTTCGCTGAGATGGACAGGGCAGCTCAGCATGCGCTCCAATGAGCCCAGCCGAGGGGGCGGGGACTTGTCCAGGTTCCGGTCGTAGCTACGGGAACGGGGGCGGGGAGTCCCGCCTCCAATGGGTCCTCGGTCAACCACGGGAGGGGAGATGTTGACGTACACCTGGCCCTCGATGATGAGGTCTGAACAGGCTCCGCCCATCTGCTGCTCCCTCTTCCACCTCTCCTCTTCCTCATCTTCATCACACTGGGGAGAGAGCGACAGAGGCGGGTTAGATCCAAGTTCACCAAGCCTCCAATACCCACAGCCATTCCGCTTATGGGATCTATACCGGTACTACAACAATGATTCAACTGGTCAACTAAACATCAAGGCTTTTCATTATTTGAATGTTCACCGTAATATTTTTTTCCCCTATCTAAGATTCAGCAAGTATCGCCAACAGATGTTACCATTATACTAACAGTGTCACGAGAAATACAAAATATGACCTTGAGAGCCACTAAGAGCTTGTATAACCTCAGACTGCAGCACTGATAGCTACTGTAAATAGACCTCGATCTTTATTGGGTCAACAACACACCCACTGAAGGCATGCAAACAAAATCTGGGACAGACACACACTCTCCAGGAATACACCCTTACAGGATTCCCAGCTGTCTCAGTACAACGGTAGTAGATAATAATAATAATAATAATAATAATAATAATATGCCATTTAGCAGACGCTTTTATCCAAAGCGACTTACAGTCATGTGCACGCATACATTTTTACCTATGGGCGGTCCCGGGGATCGAACCCACTACCCTGGCGTTACAAGCGCCATGCTCTACCAATTGAGCTACAGAGGACCAGATGGTAGTAATGGACTTTTACATCGCCTGGCCCAGGACTTAAACCAATTAAACCCGCCAATTAAGACAAAACAAAAAGGTGTAATCGGTTCGCACTCAAAAACATGTTGCATAAAGCTTACTTTATTCATATTTTTTTATTTTATTTTTTTAACTGCGTTAGGGATAGCGTACACAGACGTTTCGGCTTTACAGCCTTCTTCAGTGTGTTGGTACAATTTAATTTTAATTCAAAACAGCATTTGTAAAGAACAACCGATGAGCAGCAGGTGCTTCTAATCAGGGTTGCCACTCATCTGCCAATCAGGGATGGGACTTTTCTGGTCTACCTGGATACAAATGAGTCACAAAGAGATACAGAATTATACGGTATGGGAGCGGGGCACGAAGGGCAACTCACAAATCAACCACCCCAGGTCGTAGAAGTCTCAGGGCATACAACGTTAGACCATTTCCTTATGGTGCTACATGAGGTACATGATCTACAGGGGAAGCAGCCTTTATGAAGGCCTCTTCTCTCTGTCTGAACACATCTGATTTAACCAATATGTTTGATAGATTTCTTGATCGTTTAAAGTTGAATAAAGGTGGATTCTGGAAGGCAGAATTTAAAGAGGAGTCTGATGATAATATGTGCCAATGTTTCTTGACAATAGACTTGATGCCATTACAGCTATCATTGAAAGTAAGTATATAGTTTACAGAAAACTGTTTATTCTGTTATGGTTGGGATTTATTAAGTAACTGGCTTCTGTTATGGTTGGGATTTATTAAGTAACTGGCTTCTGTTATGGTTGGGATTTATTAAGTAACTGGCTTCTGTTATGGTTGGGATTTATTAAGTAACTGGCTTCTGTTATGGTTGGGATTTATTAAGTAACTGGCTTCTGTTATGGTTGGGATTCATTAAGTAACTGGCTTCTGTTATGGTTGGGATTTATTAAGTAACTGGCTTCTGTTATGGTTGGGATTCATTAAGTAACTGGCTTCTGTTATGGTTGGGATTCATTAAGTAACTGGCTTCTGTTATGGTTGGGATTTATTAAGTAACTGGCTTCTGTTATGGTTGGGATTTATTAAGTAACTGGCTTCTGTTATGGTTGGGATTTATTAAGTAACTGGCTTCTGTTATGGTTGGGATTTATTAAGTAACTGGCTTCTGTTATGGTTGGGATTTATTAAGTAACTGGCTTCTGTTCATGACATTTTAACTTGTTTTGGAGCTTCATCAAGCCAGGTATTGGGGTATCCTCTCAAGCGAAAAAAACTCTCGGGATGAGTTTTATTGACTATCATATTTTTCCTCTGTGTCACAGACTATAAAGTTGGCTTACTGGTAAACCTCTTTTTTAGGGGGAGAGGGTGATAACTGTCAGCTGTCAATATAGTATTTTTATCTGTAGGTTTTCTGTAAACTGTAGTACTTAGAGATTGTCCCTTCTTTGTAACAAGTACATCTAAGAAATGTATGGAGTTAATGTTATTTTCCATAGTGAAGGAAATTGATTGTACTCTACAGTTAATATAGTTAAGAAATTAATTGAATTGAATTTCGGAACCTGTCCAGATCATAAAGCAATCGTCTATATAGCGGGTCCAATATTTAAACAGGATCTTTGTAAGGATTATTTTCATAAATAAAATCCAGTAAAAATTTCCCCATGAAGAGATTTACATTGGCTGGGAGCTAATGGAGTTCCCATTGCGGTTCCAAAAGTCTGTAGGTAGTAATATTTATCAAAATAGAAAATCGTTTTTAGTAAGCACTAGTTGTGCAAACTCAATTATATAAATTTGTAGGCACATCGCTTAAGTGGTTGGAGAGGAAGAATTTGAGGGCCTCCATACCTCCATCATTCGGAATATTGGTACATAGTGATGATACATCAAGAGTGACTAGCCAATCTCCTTCACCAATAACTGGTATACTTTGGTTTTAGAAGTGGGAGTGACATAACCTGGCGGGGGGTCTGGGGAACCACCCTCAGAATTTTTGGGGCATCAAAAGCTAATTTCTTGCATTTCTACACAATCTAATATGACCCTTTTGGGATCATTTTGGGGGTCACTTTTATTGTAAATAAGAATAGAAAATGTTCAGGGGCTAAAATTAAACAACCGCCACCTGCCAAATGCGGGTCGATTTTAGCATTGGTGGGTAAGATGTCTATTTCACTAGTCACGTTGACGGGTGGTGAGGGCTCCACAGTGCGAGCATTTCACTTGCATTTGTGAATAAAAATAGTCAAATATGTTCACATTTATAGTAAAATAAATGCTGCAGTAGCTGTTTCAAAGTATTTCTGCGGTTTTGTTTCATAGCTGGTAAATTAAATCACACAAAGTCAAAGAACTAGGAATCCTATATAGCCTATCCCCCTTGCGCTGCAACACTGCCTGGCTGGGGGCTGTGCGCACGTGAAAATAATAATTTTAGAAAATAGTAAAAATAAAGAAAAATCCTTAAATGAGTAGGTGTTTTAAAACTTTTGACCCGTAGTGTACATGTTGGTAATAGAAATCACAATCCCACCTCCCTTATCTGATGTCTGTATATTAATCGAGTTGTCATTCATTAAGTCATCAAGAGCATTTTTTTTTTACCCCTGGAACGATTGTGTTCACGTTGTAACACTGGTTCACCTCTTCCAAACTCTGAGCTACATATCACCCGCATTAAAAAACAGAACTCTGACTCTTTAGAAAAAAAAATTATGCCATTTAGCAGACGCTTTTACCCATTGTGACCTACAGTCATGCGCGAGTACATTCTTTACATATGGGTGGTCCCGGGAATCGAACCCCACTATCATTGCGTTGCAAGCACCATACTCTCCCAACTGAGCACCGGAGGACCATTCCAAATAGAACCAATATCCTCCTCCACTTACCCGTGACAACTCTACCGCCTCCTCTTCCTCTCCCGCATCCTCTTCCTCTCCCGCCTCCTCTTCCTCTCCCCCAGGTGGCCGTCTGAACAGGTAGTATTCGGTTGGCTGGGTGGCGTTGGGCGTGTCAGGGGCAGGACTTTCTTTGCTGTGCTCGTCAGAGCAGCTGGTAAACGATGCGGAGCTTCCCACAGGGCTCGGGGGCGACTGAGATGAAAGGTCACAGGTCACCAGCTTGTAGTAGTTCTGGGTGGCTACCACCAGACGGGCCTGGCTCTGCGAAGGAAGGAAGGAAGGAAGGAAGGAAGGAAGGAAGGAAGGAAGGAAGGAAGGAAGGAAGGAAGGAAGGAAGGAAGGAAGGAAGGAAGGAAGGAAGGAAGGAAGGAAGGAGAAGAAGAAGAAGAAGAAGAAAGGAAGGAGAAGAATAATTACTTTATTGTGCAATTAAATACAAGTCTAACTAGAAATTGACTCCCTCTTTATTCCAACCCCTCCAAAAGACACACACAATTTGGAGCAGTGCAGATGGCAGCCATACTACGGCGCACATGGAGAAGTTGCTCAAAGGCACAACCGAAGGAGATCTAGGATTTCATACTTGCAGACAGGATGTGAGGTCACTTCCTGAGTCTGCGTGGTGGGGAGGGTGGTAAGAATTGCAGTTGGCGTCTAGATCTAGAGCCCCCTGGTGTTCGGCTGAGCAGGTGCATGAGGAGGTGGTGTGGTGGGGGTGGAGTCCAAATAGTAACGGCAGGGTGCTATTGGAGGGGCAGGAGGGTTGATGAGAGTTGGGGGGCTCGGTGGGGGAAGTGCGGAGGTCTAGGTAGAAAGCCCCCCTGCCTCCGGCGCCTCCTGGGCTCCCTGCCTCCCCAACCAGCACAGAAGAGGTGCAGACAGAGGAGGTGCAGGAGTGGTCGGTGGAACTGTTCAGGTTGGTGGTCGTGGCAGGAGGAGGTGGCTTGGAGGAGGTCGAAGGGACACTGTTGTTCATCTTGTTATAAATGGCACTGAAGTTGACCAGCATGCCATGCGAGCTGTTACAGGACGATTCGCTGCCGTAGCCCAGCTGGCATTCCAACGACTCGGAAAACTGTTCCGGGAGGTGTTCGTGAAATGTCTGTGAGAGGCTGCAGCAGGAGCAGCGCTGGAGGGCGGAGCTGGAGGAAGAAGAGTCAGCCTGGCTCCTCCCACCACCCCTCATTGGGTGATCGTCTTCCTCCTCCTCCTCATCCTCGGCCCACTCCTGCTCTCCGCAGTCCATGGAGAGGGTGGAGCCACTGCTGCCATGGCGGCGAGGACCATCCAATCCCAGCAGGTCTAGGCCCTCCAGGTGGGCAGAGAGATCGGAGGCAACACCCCTGAGGGAGTCCCGCCCCCCAGAGCAGCCCCAGGAGTGCTTTCCCAGGGTGCTGTGCAACAGGAAGGGCTCGTGTGTGGTGCACCCCAGGTCGTGGAGGTGAAAGGGCGCGACCCCGTCTCCCTCCTCATCTAGGGCGGAGTTGGCTTTGCCATGGAGATGGAAGGAGGAATCTTCCAGGTAACCGTTGAGATTATCACTATCGTCTTCATCCTCCTCCTCATCATCATCCTCCTCCGTGTTGAGTAGAAAGGGGTTGTGGCGGAGCCGGAGAGGGTTGTTGGCCTGTTCCCTTGGTTTCACCCTGGGCAGAGTGTGGGCCACCATCACCATAACCTGGTCCTCCCAGTTACAGGACGTAACCGACGAATTATCGCTCCCTGTGCTGCCTCCTCCTCTTCCTCCTCCTTCTCCTCCTCCCCCTCCCTCTCCTCCTCTCTCTCCTCCCTCTCCTCCTCCTCCTCCCTCTCTTCCTCCTCCTCCTCTCTCTCCTCCTCCTCCTCTCCCTCCTCCTGTAGAGGTCTGGATGAGGTTGCTGTAGACCAGCGCCTCCCTCTGGATTACATCCTGCTCAGGGAGGGAGGTGGTGTGGCTCAGGCCCAAGTTCTCTGGTTGGTTCGATCTCTTCAGGGACCCCCCTCCTCCACCGCAGCCCTGCCGACCCCCAGTCACCTGGCAGTGTACCAGGGGGATGTGGTGAACGATCAGAGTCTCGCCAGACAGCTTGGAGGGGCTGTCCATGGTCCTCCAGGTATGGGGGTTTGGACAGGGGCAGGGGGAAAGGCTGCGTGGGTGCTGGGGTGGGGGTATAGGATATGTGGAGGGGTATAGGACAGGGGGTTGGTTCAGTGGTTTGATGCTAGGCCCAAGGCTCCAGGGATTGGGATGGTGAAGGAGAGGTCAGGGAAATCGACTGTGGTCCGAGTGGTAGCGATCTGCAAGAGAGAGAGAAGAGGGAGGTTAGGGAGAGAGAGAATATATAGAGATAGCGAGAAGCGATGAGCGAGGGAGCGAAGAAGTTAGAGATCGATAGATTAATCGAGAGATCCTCGAGTGGAGAAGATCGCACGCTCCTGCGCGTCGATCGCGCGCCGGTCGGCGCGAGAGTGGGTACGGCTATGCCGTCCGCTCGTCGCGCGTGGCGCTGAATGCTCTCGCGCGCGATTGTCCTCCCGCTCGCTCTCTCGCGCGCTATCGCTCGAGCTCGCGCTGGGGGGCTGTCTCCCTCCGCGATCTCGCGCGCTCGCCTGCGCCGCTCCTTTCTCCCCATGGGACACCACTCCTCGCCCTCGGCTAGCTAGCTCCGCATCTCTAGCGACGAGCTGGATCTCACGACCCTCCTACTCTCCCGCCCGTCTCTCGCTCGCGCTCTCTCCTCTCCTCGTCGCGCGAGCGCGCTCTCGCTCTGCGTCGCGCTCTCGCGCTCCGTCGCGCGCATCTCTCTGCTGCTCCTTCTTCTCTCTCTCCTCGCTTGCGCGCTTGTTGTCTCCAACCGCCCTAGAACCCTTTATACCCTGAACCCTAGAATCCCCGTGTTCGGAACGAGTTGCGTGAAGCGGTGAAAAAGCGCCAGGGCGGCGGAAGGGGTAAAACGCAGGCGAGATGCGGAGGGTCTGGGGGGCAAAGTGTAAAGCGGCTTTGGCTACCCTGTTTTTGCAGTTTTCATTTATCTTTATTGTTTCCCTATCTCGCTCACTTCCTACGTGCCGCCCTGTGGTCACTCTTCATCTAGTAGCACGCACGGCGCGTCGAGCCCAGGGCTTTTGGGGACTGGTTCATCCCCGTGGACCACCCCATAGGTCTAAAATGTCTCACACACATGAACGTAAGTCGCTTTGGTATACAAGCGTCTGCTAAATGGCATATTATTAGGCAATGTTAACATACATTTCCCACGCCAATAAAGCCCTTATCACGACTTCCTCCGAAGCTGCCTCCTCTCCTTGTTCGGGCAGGCTTCGGCGTTTGTCGTCACCGGCCTTCTAGCCACTGCCGCTCCTCATCTCATCATTCCATTTGTTTTGTCTTGTTTATTACACACACATTTTACATTTTAGTAATTTAGCAGACACTCTTATCCAGAGCGACTTACAGTTAGTGAATGCATACATGTTTTTTATTTTAATTTTTTCTTTCATACTGGCCCCCTGTGGAAACGAACCCACATCCCTGCTGGCAAAACCCTCCTCTACCTTGGACGACGCTGGACCAATTGTGCGCCGCCCATGGGTCTCCCGGTCGCGGCCGGCTGCGACAGAGCCTGGACTCGAACCAGGATCTCTAGTGGCACAGCAAGCACTGCGATGCAGTGCCTTAGACCACTGCGCCACTCGGGAGTCACACCTGGTTCATATCCCCTCATAAGTACTTGTATAAGTGTTCCCTCTGCCCCCTTGTCCTTGTGTGTGATTGTTTATTGTGAGGAGAGTGTAGCTCGGTTGAGCTCCGTGTATTTTGTATTGCCGGGGTATATTTTCCCCGTGTGTCTGTTTGGTTCCAGTGTGCCTGTTTTGCGCACTGGACTGTTTTGACGCATTTCTGTGTAACTCTGTATTCCGGAATAAACTCTGTATTCTGTGATTTACCCTCCTGCGCCTGACTCCTTCAAATCACCCATCACAGAATCACCCACCCGCCATGGAGTCAGCAGGAGAGGAGCGCATGCCTGGAGTCGTGGCACAGTCCAGGAGCATTCAGACGACACTAGCCAGCTTGGGAGAAGCGATGGATCGGGTTCTCCAGGTCGTCCAACGCCTGGAGAGGAGAGGACCCGATCTGTCGGGACCAGCTGGGCGACCGGATCCAGCCACCCACACCCCAGCACCCAAAGGGATCCATATAGACGGGCGAGCGGCTGGTCCACCTGAGGCAGGGGACGAGGACCGCGCAGGACTTCGCCCTGGAGTTCCGGACTCTAGCAGCTGGGTCCGGGTGCAATGAGCGGGCCCTCCTCGACCACTTCCGGTGCCATCTACGGGAGGACGTCCGAAGGGAGCTAGCCTGCCGGGAAACCATGTTGTCCTTCACTCAAATGGTGGACATGGCCATCCGGTTGGACAACCTGCTGGCGGCCAGAGGACGTCCTGGAGGAGGCCTGCCCATTCCAACCCTGCCCAACCCAGATCACGAGCTGATGGAGCGGCGATCCGGGAGAGCGGAGGACGACAACGCCAGTGTCACTCTGGTGGCACGAAGGGACATTACACCGCACGATGTCGTCAGCGTTCTTTTGGGTCTGGAGGCGGCGGACAGGGCACTCTCACGTCACCCCAGGTATCCAACACTCGTTCAGAGCCCTCTGCTGTGCACTGTACCCTACCCATCCACTTTCCTGATTACATTGTAGTTCCCCAGTGTAAGGCGCTGGTCGATTCAGGCGCCGCTGGGAACTTTATGGACAGGTCATTTTCACACAGTCTAGACATTGGTTCCCCTATCCATTCCACTCCCCATCAGAGCACTTGACAGTCGACCATTAGGGTCCGGGTTCGTTAGGGAGGCTACAGCACCAGTCACTATGGTTACAGACGAGACTCATCGCGAGCAAGTCACTTTTTTTTATTTATTGAGTCTCCTGCTTTCCCTGTTGTGTTAGGTATTCCCTGGTTAGCACTCCACAACCCCACCTTTTCATGGCCGCAGAGCGTTCTCACGGGGTGGTCGCGAGAGTGTCAGGGTACGTGTCTCGGTGTTTCCGTTGGTGCAACCACGGTGGAAAGTCCAGACAGTACCTCCACCGTGCGCATTCCCCCCCGAATACCTCGATTTGGCGCATGCGACCAAATTACTACCTCATCGGGCGGGGGATTGCGCAATAAACCTCCGGTTAGACGCTGTGCCTCCCAGGAGTCATGTGTATCCCCTGTCGCAGGCTGAAACAGAGGCTATGGAGATATACATAATCTTGTTTATTACAGACACCTGGTTCATTTTCCCTCCTTAGTACTTGTATAAGTGTTCCCTCTGGCCCCTTGACCTTGTGTGTGATTGTTTATTGTGAGGAGAGTGTAGCTCGGTTGAGCTCCGTGTATTTTGTATTGCCGGGGTATATTTTCCCTGTGTGCCCGTTTGGTTCCAGTGCGCCTGTTTTGACGCATTTCTGCGTAACTCTGTATTCCGGAATAAACTCTGTATTCTGTGATGTACCCTCCTGCGCCTGACTCCTTCAAATCACCCATCACAGCCCTTGAATTGCGAGAGAGAGAGTACACACAAAACAGGCACATACTGTCACACGATTTCAATCCCCATATGATATATAAAGAGACTTGTGGAGCTGCCCGAAATGTTAGCTTTAAATAACCAGTCTTCTCATACAGCAGGGGAGGCATGAGTCACTGCATGTGAGTCTCTCTCTCTCTCTCTCTCTCTCGGCAGAAAGGTGGCCGCTGGCAAATTAAAATAGGTCTAATCCAGACTCAACACGTACTCAGGAGTAATCCTGGATGGATTAATCCTAACTCAGACATAATCCTAGATATATTTATAATCCCAATTGCTACAGAGACTGACAGTAGACCAGTAGCTTAATCTGTCCAGCCACGCCCACGCCCACACACACACACACACACACACACACACACACACACACACACACACACACACACACACACACACACACACACACACACACACACACACACACACACACACACACACACACACACACACGCAGGTCAAATCCATTCAATCCCAACGGTCAATTCCAGGGCCAACTGAAATGCCTCTCCAGACAGAGGTGCTAGCTCTGACTCGACAACCCCCTGCCTCTCCAGACAGAGGTGCTAGCTCTGACTCGACAACCCCCTGCCTCTCCAGACAGAGGTGCTAGCTCTGACTCGACAACCCCCTGCTGCTCCAGACAGAGTGGCATTTAGCGCCAGCGCAGGGCACTGTCAATTGGCTCAGAAATGGCACCCTACTTTCTGTGCACTACCTTTAGCCATAGCTACATACATACTGTACAAAGAAGTACCACTACAAGTACCGTGTGTGTGTGTGGGCGTGAAGCAGAAGGGAGGCACAGACAGACAACAGCACTGACGGAATCCCCACACCCCACTTCCTGTCTCTGAGCCATCAGAGGATAATCCCTTTACGTAAGTCTACTCCCCCCACTTCTCTTCCTCTTCAACGTCCCCCCTTCAACAATTATCACCCCTTCTCTCCCTTACCTCCATTCATCTCCATCCAACTTTACAAACTAACTGCTCTCCTCCATTGCTTCTCCTTAAAACAAACTAGCGTCTCCTGACGTCACAATGTCCAGCTAATCAGTTACAGTACCCAGAAAAGATAGAACAACCCTTCAAAACAGTGAATACAGTTTAAATACTATTCTAAACCCACTGCTGCAGTGTTTCTGTATGACTGGCTTTATTGGCCAGTCTGAGATATGGCTTTTTCTTTGCAACTCTGCCTAGAAGGTCAGCATCCCGGAGTCGCCTCTTCACTGTTGACATTGAGACTGGTGTTTTGCGGGTACTATTTAATGAAGCTGCCAGTTGAGGACCTGTGAGGCGCCTGTTTCTCAAACTAGACACTTTAATGTATTTGTCCTCTTGCTCAGTTGTGTACCGGGCCTCCCACTCCTCTTTCTATTCTGGTTAGAGCCAGTTTGTGCTGTTCTGAAGATCTCAGCGTTGCACGAGATCTTCAGTTTCTTGGCAATTTCTCGCATGGAATAGCCTTCATTTTTCAGAATAAGAATAGACTGACGAGTTTCAGAAGAAAGTGCTATG